TGTTTCGTATATTCATGTAAAGGAATATATTCATCTGTTTTGTTCAACATTTTGTGTGCCACTGTCTTCTGTGGTGAGTAGTATATCTGGCAAAGTAGTCATATTTTTCGTCATAAGTAATTGCAGAGTACTTTTATGGTTTAATACTGTTAGTACCAGTTGTATGTAAGCTCTCTTGACTTATGGGTGTCGTAGTACTCACCTACTTGACTTGATTATTTTTTATAAACAAAGGTATAGGAGTCATAGGAATTAATCACTGAGATCTGCAAGTTGGCCTTTACCCATGTTCAATACGGTTCTCGCTTTGCCTCAGCTGTTTCTATACATCACTTTGAAGATTTTGCAAAACCTTTCAGTCACAATTCTAGATGAGAATTATGATTGGCACTTTAGTCACAGGACATCAGAAATCGATTTATCAAAAAAGCAAAAATAGTAGCACATTGTCTATACATAACCCCAAATTTTACAAAATACAGGGTTTGTTGGTGATTGCGTAAAATACCGAAGATGATTGTCTGGTAAATATTGTGAAAGATGATGAAAGGTTTCGATACTAAAAATGTATCCATATTTCTTTTGGTTTATTTGTTATTCAAGTTGTTCACTGGAAATAGTATATATCGTATAATTTGAATGTATGACGCCTACTCCTAGCAACCTTTCATACATTTTGGCATGCTTCAGATATTTGACTGGCGTTCTTGATATAACATCGGTTTGCGCCAAATGCACTTCGTTCTTATTTTCCACCAATTCATGTGAAGTTTCTAATGACTTTTTCAGATTCACGTTACAGGATGTTGTAACTTGCTATATTGCTATTCATGCGTTGACTTTATAACATTTATCATTCAAACTGTAGTTTACATTATGTTATTACAATATACTGTCGCCCAAAACCAGCCTATATTTTGTTTTTATTCATACACATAGTAGTAGGTTTGTGTCGTGTTCATCTAACCTTAAAGTAATCGAAAGAAGCAAAAGTTAGGCGACTTGTGCAAATTACTGAGCATACAATTAACAGTGCTCTTCAGTACACACAATTCACCGTTAAAGAACTACTGATGGATCGTAACGCTATAATTTGTTTGAAAGGCTACTAAACTCAGATACATTAAAAAATCAAGAGACTGTTTGCTGGAACCTCCATTCAAAGTTTGATCTCGTTTCTGCGTTATATCTCGTACGATTGTTGGCGTCTTTAGCCATAATTTGATGAAGTCGAACCATCTAGAAAATATTAAAAAGGTCGATTAAATAATAAACGCTACTTATAAAACGTCTTTAGCCAAAATGTAATTTAAACCTGAAAATCCATTGATATAGTAATCATCAAATAAACAAATCCGGTAACTAACACTAGTGGGGCTCTCACAAAGGTTTAGATTTTCTCTCAAAAGCATGGCAAATGTATAAATCGCAACATTTTTTATGTGCATTATGTGTTTGATAGTCTCTGATCACACTTAGTTTCCTAACAAACCGAAGTAGCAGTCGTTTGGTTTATCACTGACAGTGACTCCTTCATGTAATTCCCTTGTGTATGACTTCCCATCATTTACTTATCATTTTCGCTGTGTAAGTTCTTGTGTCAAAAGCAAGCTGCTCCATAAATAAGTACACTATGCTTATACAAGAAATAAAATCTTACCCGACAGCTTATTTAATGAATCTATATAATATACTGTAAACCTCGGGTTACTGGAAAATATCAAATTAATGTCTCCATTAGCTATACATTGGTTACCTAAGGTCACTACAAGCATAAGAGGCAAGTTAACACTCTTCATTGGTAAATCCATGTATTGGATAACATGAGATAGGTTAGCCACATCAGTGGGTGCAGCTGCTGAGGCAACGGTATCCGTTGTAATCTCGACAGCGTTGTTTTCGTTTGAGGTACACTTTTGCGTAAGTCTTTGATTGGTCGTTTTATCTGAGACTACACGAACGCTCCTAAACTTCTTAAGTGTGTAGATTAGCCGTTCGGATTCTTTCAAGTGTTCAGCTAATAAATGGGAATCGAATCTAAACACGATAGGGCACGAGTACTACTGGTGCCTTTTATTAAGACGAATGTATTGGGATGGACTATCTTGGACGTTAGCTGCCTTTAATATTGAATTCCTTACGGACTTAATGGCGATTTTGTCAGGTATGTTATGGATAATCACTTTATTCCGAGGGATCATTCGTTTAGTAACTTCGCCAGTGATAAAATCGATAATATGTTCTACTTTGATAATGTCTTCAAGTTCTACCGAACCATATCCTTCGCCAACAGCAGTTTAAGGGGTGATAGTTTCTTTATTTCTTGCTTACGATCATCATGCTTTGATAAAGAGCTCGCAAGCAACTCCACCTTAGGACGCATATAGCTTGACTGCTTATAGGTATTGTCTAGTTCATTCTTAATATTATTGATGTAGAACTCATTATTAAATTAGAGCCTGAATCATCCAGAAGCAGGTGTGGTGTAATTCAACTTCCAACATTGTCTGATGCAAAAGGAGTCACAAAGCATGGGGTATAGGTAATAGCAGAGTTGGTATTCTCTGAAGGATTAGGGCTTTTCTGGGCTCGTTTTTTTGACAGTCGACTCAGTTCGTTGTGTTAAGTCTAATGCTATTTATGAGTTATACAATAGGGTTCAACGATATTTCAACGCTTTGTATTAGATACCGTGTTATCGTAACGCAAGGTCCAAACGTAGAGAGATAATGTGGCTTCCACTTAAAATCTTGTACGCTGGGTATTCATATAATGACAGGTCTGCAATGGTAGAACAAGTATACTCTTCTGATAGTAGAGATAAATAAACTTACACATAAATTAATCATAATTCTACAACAGTTAACTAAAATACCGTATCCAAGAATTTATAATAATAATCTGCAATAAGTACTAACAAAATTTATCATAAACAATTCAATCGGCTTTCTTGATTTGGATACTTTAGATGTGATATGCTCGGAAAGTCCAAACTGCTACTATACATTCACTCGAATGGTGAGGAGTTTTAGTACGTGTTTGTGTAGAACCAGATTTAGCTTAGTCTTCTGCCAATGTGAATGAATCCACCCTTACCAACACTCACCGATAGATTCTACGACACAGTCCATTCGTGTAACTTGTGCGTGTCTTCTAGGGTTGCCGCTGAAATATCGTTTTCTTTGAAAGGTGACGAGAGTGAATAAACCACTTTCAGGTCATCGGCAAAAAGGGAAGTTTCACTGTACTGAAATAGTGAACGCACGTCGTTAATAAGTAGGAGAAAGAGTAATGGGCTAAGCACACTTCCTTCCATAATCTCACTGGCGTTGTTTATAGGCTTAGAGTAGCAAGATCCATATGGACGATTTGGCTACTTTTTTAATGAAAGATTTGCACCAGAATACAATGGAATCCCATAGGTCAAATGACGAAAGTTTTAAAAGAAGTTCGTATGAGACGCAGGCAGCAAACATATCACACTTGATGGAAGACTTGGGAGCATTCACGTACTTAGCTAGCATCATTGATGAACAACGAAGACCTAGTGAGAATGTGAAGGCACGAATTGGCAAAATAAGGACAGCATTCCTACAATTGAAGAATATCTGGGACTCAAAACAACTGTCGCACAACATCAAAGACAGAATTTCAAACACCAACATCAAAACAGTGTTATTGTGCAGAGCTGAAACTTGGAGGACTTCCACGATCATCAACAGGAAATTAAGGGTATCTATAAACAACCGTATATGCAAGTTACTCTGTATCAAGTGGACAGACGCCATCAGCAATACCTGACTGTAGTAGAGAGAAAACCAGCTGCCTGTAGGGATTAGGAGATGCTGGGTGGTGGTTAGGGCACAATTCACAAAATGATCTGACCGTGTTATAAAATCAGCAGTAAATTGGAATCAACAACGGAAAGGAGAATGGGACTAACTAAAGATCACATGACGCCGGCGCCTGGATGCTTGGTGATTACTGGGAACGAAAACTGAGGACAGACTTGGCTGGAGATTTTCGGTCGGTGAACTATTCCGCAGGGGGGCTTATATGCTTACATTTCTGAAATGTAATTATTTTTACGAATGTATGTGATGCCTCAACAAGTTGATCACGAAAACGAAGTGTTTGAAATATTCTGCCCTCAACTATAGAAGTTCGATGGAGGGTTCCAAACAGAAGATTATTTAAACATTCCCACTTACTTTGGTTATCATCGTTAAAGGATTATAACCCCTATGAAGTGTTACCGAATGTCGAGTAACCAACAAAACACAGCTTGATGAAAATACGTCGACTCAAAGTTCTGTAGTCCTTTCTCAGTAAGGAATCAGCTCTTTATAAACCTGGATTTCCAGTGATATTCATTTTAAAGCAAACCTGCCATTTTACGAAGAAACGACACAAAAAATTAATGTAGTGGGTCCACTAGTGTTTCAGAAACTTCTTGCATAACTACAGTTATTTTTCATGATGGCTGTCTTATGACACTGGCATCGTACCTAAACTTACGTTGACATATGACCATGCTAGATTCTCTCACAGTATAAGAGACAGACAAATGACCATTTAGTTGTAACGGTTTGCGTCTAACCAGAAGGTACTTCGTGTACTAGGGGAGTATGTAAAGCAACGTGAGTGATTAAGTCTAGAAAAAGGAACAAAAAGAAAGGTGAGTCGACGACCCAGCAAATTTACACAATGTATAAAGGCGTCAGATAAAGACAACCTTGAAATCGGAACTAGGAGCATGGAGTTCAACCCGCTACATTAATACCTTATAATATTATACACAATCCCCACGCAAAAACACTCTTAAACCGACTTTAGGACCAAAAAACGTAGGCGTTGATCTAAATGAAGTTACGAAAAATATTCCTGACCATCAATTATAAGCTCCTTATATTGCCCTCATAACCTTCTTAGATAATTTGTTTTCTTGTCCTACGACTTTACATTTCACCTCGAAGGCTTTTGGCGCCACTGTGTCAAACATGTCTTCAGGTTTCCAAGGTAAGTTTGTGTCCTGACGTCTTAGCTCTCCAGGAAAATGTCGGAAGTTATATATCGGTGGTTTAGTAGAAAATGTCCTCAAAGACGACTTAGTCCGCGAGTTGTCTAAATGTGGTGAAGTAGTTGATGTGTGGGTTGCCAGAAACCCACCAGGATTCGCGTTCGCTGAATATGTAAAGTCATCGGATGCCGAGAAAGCAGTAAGATCTCTTAATGGTATCAACGTTTGTGGCTCAAGAATCAGAGTTGAGTTCGCGCACGGTGGTCGTACTAAAAGCGGTAAGCACTGTTTTAAACGTATTCGAAAGATGGACTACGAATTACTTGTACAACGTAACACGGCTTCGTCTTCATTTAAATTCAGCTATCGGTCAGCGTTTCATGGTGGTCGATCAAGTGGCAGGGGCTCATTTAGGCGTCGAAGTTCTCGTCACAGTAATAGGGATTCGTCATACAACGGTCACCGTCATGCTGATTACGATCAATTTTCTTCCTTTCACTCTTCAGAAATAGCCAGCGCTGCTACTGCGTCGGGCTACCCCTACGGGGTATCAGGCTATCAGTCCGTGCTGCCATTTCTCCCATCTACGGAATTCATACGATCCCTACAAAGTCAGTCACGTCGTCGGTCATCTCCTGGGAGAATCCAGTTTCCAGTGAACCAAAGAGGACATTCTCCAATATCACGACGAAGGTAATAATTTCTACCAGTGCTCACTTTCTTAGTTCTAACTCCTACTACACTATCCATCTGGAAATTTTGATATATTTATGTTGTCTCTCATCACTAATAAACTACTGTATCTATCAATTTACGCTAATATGAAAGGTTTGAGAGCAAAATTTTTCAAACTCGAAGTATGGGTTTAAAGAGTGATCGCGATAATGATAAGGGGAATATCGTCACATCGTGGGACTTAAATTATCGACGTTTAACTCGAAGCTTCTGTTCTTTGCTAGTGTGGAAGTTATTCGTCTGAAGAATCTTAAGCATTCATACCATAATTACCTGACATCGAGGCCTTATGCTTATAACTTAGAATACTACCTGATCACCATACTTCAGCCAATATGAATCTAACAGTGGATGCTACACATATTCTTCGATAAATCACCTAGATTTCAGAAGTTATTCTCAGTATTTAAGTCTGCGTACGTAAACATTTACTTCAAACTCAAAAATGGGAAACTTTTACTTGAAATTAAGTTTCTTCGTTACTTTATACCAACTGTCTAACGCGCTGCCACAGTCTCTACGATGCTTATTTTTGGTTTCTTTCAGGAGTCGAAGTCCACTAGGTGTTCCAGTGGGAAGACCACGAGGTCGAAGCCCGTTGGAATATAACGGTAGGAGTATGAGCCGCCACCTCGACATGCGCGGCCGTGGAGGCTACAGTGACTTTTCACGCTCTCGAATACCCAGGGGGCCTCGCACAACCTATTCACCGCCTTTCGTGAGAGAAATAAATGGTAGACATGATGAATCACGTGGACGAAGGGGTCGAGACGATCGTCGCCGACGTTGAAAAATGCTACTGGATTCCAAGACAAAACATTTCATAAATTTATATTCAAATGATATGAAGCTAAATGCATTTAGTTTTTATCCATCTAGTTTTCAAAGATTTCTTAATTGTCATAGTCTTGCCTAGATATCATCGACGTAATTGAACGAAAAATTTGTTCATTCCCATTTCCTTCCTGTATTGTATTACCAGCTGGTGGGCTCGTTATATTAAATAATAACCATTTTTACGGATAGATGAAAGTGAAAGAACAAATTACTGCATCGAAACATCTAGTTAGTCTTCTCATTCATTCATGTTTGCATTCATCGTGTTGATCTGTCAGTAGATAGTAGTCGTAACTATTTGGTCTCTATTTGTCAGTGTTGATACTCATCATTATTTATGGTGCTTTGGTACTTCAGTTCACAGTGCATTTCTCCAACATGACCTCACCTCGAAATTCAACCCATCCTATTACTTTTCAATTTAGTGGTTTTTACATAATATCCAAATTGTTAGATAACATCTTGAAGTAAATTACTGGAAATACCAATTTTTCTCATCACTCATTAGTTTCATATCTAATGAGAAGATCGGTTCTGCGTACGGCAAACTCACCAGACCACTTTTATGTGATTGAAAGTCCATTGATCTATAGGCCATTGTAAAGGTCTTTATGCTAAAATAAATGGCAACTTACGATACAACGTGTTATCCAAGCCCTTTACTTAGATGTTTTTCTACTGCTTTTCAAATACGAAGCATCCTCGATTCAGAGCGTGTTGACTTCACGACTTCTGGGGTTCCAAATATGTCATATTTGTGGACTTTTAGTCTTTCACAAACTCCGACTGTTTAGACTATCTGAAGACAGGTCAGTTGCCCAAACTACAATGTGCTATCGGATATCTAATAGATGGAATAATGATAAGAAGCCCTTCAACTTCACGTTTAAATCACGAAACCATTATTTGGCGAATGCAGAAATCGTTACCACTAACTTATGCCAGCCACATGGAGTAGTTTTTAGCGTTAATCATTCAAATCGCCTACTTGTCTACATCAACGTCTATATAATCAGTACTATTTTGGGACATTTAAGGAACAATCGGTTGATGAGCACAAAATCGCCGGACTATCTAATTGTACATCGGTCTACGCCGTGTACTTTTAGTCATGAATCTTCCATATTACTAGTAAAAATATGGAGTGCTTAAATCGCCGGTACACTTGAAGTATTTACCATCTTGGCCAGTTCACTAAGTCGATGTTTTTGTCAGATTTTTGATCCGGTTGGAAATAAGGTTAAATATACACTGTTGTTGTCCACCATTGTGATAAGTGATTGAATGCTCGAACAACACATGCAAGATTCATTCAAATGGCTAACAGCAATCGAAGCAGTATTCATGAAGTTTATGGAACGGTGAAGTTATAGAATAAAGATTTGTGGATGAATCTCATCACATGCGTAGTTCAAATTTTAATCGACCAATTCGATAGGATATTGATTTTCAAGTTCTTCACTCTGAATTCAGCTAAATACGGTGGTTCACCAGAGAATCGAAACTTTTATGACTTGTGTTTAAGCCAGTCACATTAACTCAAGGTCCCTCAAAAAGCTTAGTTAAGTCCTATTTATACCTTTTAAACTGAAAAAGATTTTCCCATCACCACTCATTTTTAACAAATAGGAAAGTCTATAAATCCACTAACGTAGTTTGAAGAGTTGTGGACTTTTGAGGTTTTTTTAGCTAGTAACCTCATGCACAAATACTGATACAAATGAGCACCAAAATAAGTTTGCGACACACAAATAAAAGAATAAAGTTGTAAAGAATGATAGAATACAGTCAGAAATACTTGGTATTAAAAACAAGTGAACGAGAATAGTGTACGGAAGGAGACACAATTCAGTTAGAAGTACAATCAAAAGAACTTTCATTTAAGTAAACCTGTCGATTTTGCAAAAAACGTAGAAAGAAACTACGTCAGCATGCCAATGACTGCTGTCTTAATTCGTACCTAATAACTTCTCAGGATATTCAAATGCATCATCTTCAGCCAAGAAATCATGATGGGTCGGATTATCCATTAATAAACGCCTATCTGGTTTTCAAACCATGCCCACTAATACGTTTTCTTAAAGGGAATTCTTCCAGGGGGTCTGAAAACATGGGAGTTTTAATTTATCGTCGTAATTCTCCTTTTTCTTCAAATATTCTTTGACTTGAATCATTTCGACTCTCCGATAGTACCTTGATGTAAAACTTCCTACGTTTGGCTTGACAAATTTACATCCGGATATTCTACTTCATGTCAGGACCCGTACTCTACGATTAAGTGGATTTCTCATAACTAGACGGCTACAACTCGTTTTATGCTCACAAATCATATGTCCTAGATTTATATTAGCATATTTTGACTTAATAGGGATTAGTTAATACGTCTACGCCTCGCGGCCATATGCATAACTTAAGGTAGGTGTGTGGTTTTTCTTATACTCAAGATGGTTCTCAGAGAGTCATCTCAGGAACTTAATTCAAAAACCTATAACACATTCGGAACTACGTCTATCAACTACTCCACAGGGTGACCGACTACTAAACTTATCAAAATTGAGAAAGGTTCAGTTGTATCAGCAGTTTTCATCGATTCGTTCCTTTTTTATTCAATCTATCATTTTTCAGAGGCTGTTCCCATGTCTTGACACATTGAGTGAACTGCAAGCTACGGGCATCTTTCCTTCATACCTTACACATCTTATAAGTGTAAAACAAGCAAAACGTGCTACAAATTCAATGTTTAACTCGAGTGCTTTCAACAAACAAAGCAGGTTTCTGACTGTCAACTCATCGGATGAGCATCGGCTACTAAACCACCGAATAACAAGCTATAGTCAGTACAGTTATAAGTTCTGTCGGCACTTCGTTTCCCATAGTTAGGTTTCCAAATTCTGCGAGAATCATATGTAATACATATAATTTTCCACAGACAGCATGTTTCCGTTCGAATGGAATATTACATTACTGAATCTCTTTATTATTGTCCATTGAAGATGATTTGTAGTATTTCTTTTGTACCGTGATAACATATTTCTTGAAATGGCCTTTTTATTTTGTTGATTGTTCGCTTTTTCCCATTTGACCAACATTCTTGGACTGCAGTGCATTTCCTTGCCACTCATACAGTAGGAAAAACCTGTCCAGTTTAAAGTACTTTTAATAAGAACTCAAGTGACATCAACAAATAGTCAAATTCCTGAATGAGGTCTTTCAGTCAATGAATGATAAAAGTTAATTATCTAACAAAAATATTGCATTTGCAACACTGAGAAATGTGTTCTCTTCCAAATGTCAACATTGACTAAATTTATTTAGCCTTATATTTCCAACTTGATGATTTTACGATATAAATTATTTGTAAAATACGACTACTTCGAGTTCATTTTTCATATCTAAGATCCTAAATGGAGGTGCAATAGTGTTACTAGTCTCTGCAAGTTCAGTGGTATTTTGTCTCCGTTTATTCGGTGTATTCAAAGTGCTTCTGAGCATCGTTCTTAAGCTGCAAGCGGAAAAGAAACACTGATGCCAATGAAATTCACATATTGTGCTCTCAAATTCGTCTACATTTGTCAACTGCTGTGATTAGTAGTTGTCTGTTTATTTAGTTTTGATTCATTTGTGTGGCTTTACTGAAGAAACTTGAACCATTGTAAAGTAATTAGTATTCGCTTATTAGCTTTTTTTTAATGTCATGTAGCTAAATGATTTGTTTGTATCTGTTTGGATACCACAAAACTGAAAAAAAATACCAACTTAATAATCTCACGTGATTATAATTTCGAGTCGACACGCAACATTGTGTATTACTTGGTCCTGTCATTCTGTAATGGATTCGGGACAACAACAAGACCGTTTTACTTAACACAAAACCACGCTCACCCACGACGGAATCAAACAATGTACTTTTTTGGAAGGCTACTTGTTCGGATAAGAGGGAAGTTCATTTGCTAAGCGAGATAAGTCAATAACTGACACATTAGGACTGAGTGACTGATGGTCGCACTTTAATAAAGTACATCAGGCGATTATCAATATTTTGACTAGTTCACTACCTTAACGTCCATTTGACTTCCAGTGCATTTCAGTTGCACTAGTTAATTCTCTCATTTGGCTTTTGCTCAGCATTAGTATTTAGTTTTATTGTGTACGAGTTTGACGATTTCTTTAGCCAACAGTTACTGAATGCAATCTGTATATAATGGAATAAATGCAAACATGAATCAGTCTCCCTTTGTTTGTACCAAATAAATCTTTCTGATAGATTCGCCTTTTGGAGTAGTTGGATATAGGAGAGAACAAAGTTGTGATATTAGTGTATCAAAGTGCATTAAAAAATTACCGTCGATATCACATATATGTCTTTTACATGGTCAGTTTTTCACTAGTTGATTATATGAAGTAATAATAATTGGTTATGATTATCTAAGTAGTACTGATTTTTAATACTCGAATGGGAAACCTATCTATTGGTGTACAGCCATGATGAGCATCTAAAAATGAGATATTTCACTCAACTTATATTTCCTTTTATGTCTGAATATGAATACTTAATTTATTCCAAAAATCAGTTATATTGCTGGTATGAATTGAATTTATCTTATTAACTGAATACTCATGTGCGGTGGCGCTTCCCGCTGATTGCTTTTGTCAAGCTGTTCTATCCTCTTTTAGCATTTCACATATTGCCTTGAAATTTGACTAGGACTTGTCCTAGAGCCTGGTATAATATCCCATAGTAATTCAGCAAATAAGTGGTGCCGAAATCTGAAGTGTAATGTGTTTTTTGAAAAAGTTTATCTGATGAAAATATGCAAAAGTATATCTCACGACTAATCAAATCAGACAGTTTTTTGACCAATTAAGTGTCAGTTTTTTGTTCCCGGGCTCTACTAGTTAAAATAGCTAGGGATTACTATACAGTAATAGGGATTTGTTGAAGTGATCTACTAA